GGATATGGCCCAAATCATATGATACTTTAATGGACTTGTGAACTCAATGATGTAAATACTTGCTCTAATGGTATATATTATAACTCATCCATGCCTTCTTAAATTGCAACTCTTAATCATGTATTCCCATAAATCCTCAAGAGGGTGTTGAAAGAGAGAGATGGGGTGGGGGGAGAAGAAGACAAAGATGAAGATGAAGATGAAGATGAAGACGAAGGCAAAGAAGAAGAAGCAGAAGGAGGAGGAGGAGGAGAAGAAGAAGAAGAAGAAGAAGAAGAAGAAGAAGAAGAAGAAGAAGAAATAGAGAGAGAGAGGCAGATTAGAATAGTATTGGGAATGTGTCAGGGGATTTTTTTTTTTTTAGTAAGGAGCATTAAGTTATGACTCACTGAATCAAGATAGAGTCTGTTAACTATAGAGCTGAATGTGGGCAGAAGTGATGACCCTGGAATTTGGTGGAAATCATGATAAGAAAAAAACAAGTTTGAATGGGGGATGAGAGCAGGGAGTGAGTTTGGGAGTGAGACATATATTAGGTATGTATTCAAAGAAAGATGGAGGGAAGTGGTTTATGAATAGGTCATGAGCTGATTGAATTATGAAAGGATCATGGTGGAGAGCACAGGAAGCATATGCTGGTTAATTTGGTTGGATAATAGATATTTTAGGCTACAATTCTTGAATATCCAACAACAAATTATAGGTTTTATTAAAAAATTAATATGCTTTTCCATAAATGTTATCAAAGCTAATTTGAAAGGTCCAACTTCTTTCTCTTATATACTTAAAGGGAACAAGTGGTAGGGGTGCTTTCAGGGTGGGCTTAGTAAGGACTGGTGGTGACAGTAGAAAGATACTGGGAGATCTCAACTTGATAATATTGGGGTATAATCTAGCAAGGGAAGAATAAGGTGAAAAAAGCAAACTTAAAGACTGTAATTTCTTCAGATGGGAATAAATCTATCGTTTCTCTGTTTCCGTCTGAAATGGCATTTCCCTACAAGTTTTAGAACAACAGTTTTACTTTGTTTTGTTGTTTTTAAGGTTGTTGTGTGTGTGTGTATGTATGATGGACTCCTTTGGTGGTCTGAAGAAATCTACTGACCCCTTCTTGGAATGATGTTTTCAAATGCATAAAATATATAGGATCCAAAAAATATGGTAAAATTAAGCTATTTTTTTTTCACAAACCCCAGTTTAAGGACTCCTGGTCTAAATTAACCAGCCAACACCAAAAAAAAAAAAGATTTGTAGTTTAAACTTTGAATATTCTTGCAGTGATCTGGAAGGGAAAGGAAAAGATTAAAGTGGGTAGTGGTGTCAGTTATATAGAGAAATTATATGTGTATGTATATATATATATGTGTGTGAGTGTGTATGCGTATGTATGTATATGTATATATACACACATACAGATTATATATGTATGTATGCACACACAACTATTATGGCCTGATTTTGTTAGAATAAGAGCAAATGATAGAAGTTTGGGTGTATGTAACTACACATGCACGGGTATATACATATATACACATGTAATTCAAATATATATGTAGTCATATGTTACCATGCATACATATGCTCATATGTATAGAAAGATTAGATAGATATGAGGTCACATGCTCTCATACTTTCATTATCTGTTCTTATTCAAACAAAATCAGGCTGTAATAGTCACTATGAAATACATTACATCACGAAGCCCTAGTTCTTACTAACCAAAATCATTACGCAATGAAAAACAAATTAAGAATACTTGCCAACATGAGTTTAGCTTTGATCTAGGATCATCCAGAAAGAAAACCAGAAACTTATTTGTCTACTGCTAATGATCATGGAAAATTTCCATGGTTAATAAATGCAAAGAGTCTAAGATGATGTCATAGGAAAAAAAAGCAACTAATAATAACAGGAAGATTATTTTCCACTTGAGCCATATGGTGATAGAAGAAGTGAGTAAAACATATGTCCAGGGTATTTAGAACGTGTCTGTATTTAATATTTAAGGGAGCTGTCTCTAAAGAAAATAGTTGACTTTATATAGAAAAGCATTTACTGAATAGCACTCTATTTCAATACTCCAACGGACCATGATTTCATTGGTGTGGCTAACGAAGATTGCAAACCTTTCTCGTTCGTGTGGATGGCCTTTGTGAATTTGTATAGCTGAACATGCTGATCACTTAATTGATAGCTGGCACTTATATAGCACACTAAGATTTCTGAGGTTTATTAATTATTACTTAATTTGATATTTAATATATTTACCTTTAATATATTATCTAATTTGACCTTCATAACAACCTTATGAGGAAAGGGCTATTATTGTTCCCATTTCATAGATGAGGCAACTGAGCACCTGTGAGGTGAACTAGAGTATCTAATATCGCACAGTTGATAAAGTTTTTAGTAAGGATAAAAAGCCAGTGCTGACTTCATGCATAGCATACTATTCACTATGCAACCAATACTGTCTATTAACCATCTCATCTTCCTGTCATAAACTTAAATGTCATATGTTACATAATCAGCAATTTCTTGGAGGTCTTACAAACAACAACAAAACATACACACAAGTGTCAATAACTGAGCCAACATAAAGGCCTGATCACAAAATTTCACTAGTACCTAGCCTGACCTGAGTGTTACCAGCATCTTTTCATTCCTGACAGAATTTGGCCCTAGGTACCAATTAAGGAATTGCAGAAACCCCTGAAGCTTACTCTAATGTCTGAATGAAGCAGAAGAGGTTATTCATTCTCACAAGAAGACAAGCCAAGTTTGTGGGAAACCAATGTGTTTTCATCTCCCTCTCTATTAGAGAATGAATGGGGTCCTTTAAGTGTGTCCTCCAGGTGAATATCTTCTCTTCACTTTTCGTAAACATGTAATGAATTCAAGCTGTCATAGGTGTAACTATGATGGGTAAGTGACGCTTTGTCCCAGGGAGACAAAATTATAAAGTGTTTGTAGTATTTACATCCTTTCAACATCTTAGGATAAAAATTGAAATTAGCACCTTGTTGGCAAGGAAAAAAAATAGTTAAAATTTGAAGCTCCCGTTTGGTACACACCCTTACCCTGAGACAGCTACATTGTTCCAGCCCTTTCCTGCTATCTGACACCCCTAATTATTGACTACCTAGTAGTGGTTTCAAGGTTCTCTAGGTCTTCTGTCTCTCCATCTTGTGATAATGTCCCAGCATCTCTCTGTCCCCCAACTAAATTATCTTCAAAATTCAATTAGAGAACATATTCATGAGGCCTGCTATTGTTTCCCCTGCATATATTTGCTGAAGCCTGATCCTGACACCAAAAGTATAGTTACAGTAATGTCCGAAATATTCCTCTGATTTTATTTCATCACATACCTTGGAAATGACAAATTTTTGTGGTTATGCACAGTGTACATGTGGCTGTTTATTCTGGTCAGGACGAAGCTGCCTGTCAGGATGTGACAAAATGAATGGGCCTTACTTCATGGAACACCAAAGGAAATCTTACTTTGGAACAAACAAGGAGTGAACCCTAATATTGAATGGATTAGTATAAAGATAGAACAGAAAGGAGCAATGAGAAAAAGAAGAGGAGAGGAAATGGAAAAAAAAGGACAAGATAAAAGAGGAGAAGGAAAGGGAAAGAGATAGATAAAGGGAGGCAGAGAAAGAGGGAGTAGGAAAGACAGAGGAAGATGGAAACAGAATGAGAGGGAGAAAAAAGAGAAAGAGTGAGAAAAAGAGAAACAAGAAGTGAAGGAGAGAAAAAAGGATGGAGAGAGAGAAGAGGGAGAGGAGGATAAAGGAAGAGAAAGTGATAGAGATGGATGAAATAGGAGAGATAAAAGTAAAGGGGAAAGAGAAAAAAAGAAAGAAACAGAGACTTAGGAAAAGACATCGAGGGAGAGGGAGAGGGAGAGATCAGAGGCGAAAATGCCTGCTGTTCAAAATATACCTTCTCCTCCTTATAGCTTAGTAGCAATTGTGAGAATTGTAAGAGTTATGCTGGGGATTCTGTGAGGGTCCCTCCATAACCTGAATGAAACATCAAAAAACAAAACTCAGCCTCAGGTCTGTGACTTAGGATGTCTCTGAGAACAAAGAGAATTCTGTTCTTTGGGGCCTGGGGAGAAACTGATGGAACTCAGATCATCAAACATCAGACGATTAGGAGATTGCAAGTGGTTCTATGAAGCCCTTCACTAAAAGGAAGGATGGATGCAATGTCCCTTCTGTTAATTACAGTGTTCCATACTATAAAAGTGCCACAAGGTAAACGGATAGTTACTTTAAATATCTATGACTGGTTGAGATAAAACGAGCCCCTAATATGATGTGGATCTGTGTAAGGAAAGCTCTGAAAAGTAGGTCCAGGAAGCAAACTGTTACCTGATACTATCTGCACAATTATGAGAATAACCAAAGAATCCTTTTCAACTATTTTAGCCTGAGCTAATAGAGAGCGATGCATCATAAAAGAATGAATTACCTCCGTAATAAACCTAGCATCTCATGGAATGAAGCTATTAGAAATTGATCAGTTAATTTAGGAGTTGCTGATAATCTCAGCTCTACAGAAGACAGGCAAGTAGTAAAAATACATACATACTGGAGATGGACATCAATATCAAATTTACATCCAGAGTCCTCTGCCACTGTCACTGGTTGCCAAAGAGAATCATGGGGCTTGGATATTCTGACTACAGTATTACTTGGATATAGTTAGAATCCCACCCTTACCCCCAAAACACATACATACAAACACACATACACACGTACAAATACATATACACATGCATGTGCATATGTAAGTACTTCCAACTGTAGTTTAATTTGGAGGAAACAAAAAAAAAAAAAAGGCTTTCAATTGCTTACTCCCATCATTACAAGGGCAATGTTTGAGTGTCTGGGCCCTGATGCCAGCAAGAGTAATGTGTTGAGGATTAAATGTGGAAAGGAGAAGTAAACCCAGGCCAGGGCTGCACAGCCCAAGGACTCTCTTACCTCATTAACAAACACCCAGTGACTGTCCTTGGAAGCCAGGTTGGTTTCCACTGCCTGCAGAAAAAGGAAAAAGAAAAAGGCAGTGAATAAGAAATACACACTGGGGAGAAAACACCCATTCACTGCTTGAGGTTCCCTTTATCACCAGTATTCTGGAAGATTTTGTTAGTGAAAAGTCTATTGTATCCCAGGGCAAGTGCTGCTAACTTCAGCCAAGTGGTCGTTATGTTTCAATATGACCATGTTGCTCACTAGGTGAGCTGGGCCACTAAAACCAAGATAGAAGTTCCTTGATACCTATTTTTGAACCACAGGGAGAAGACCAGTTTATTCAAGGTTTCCAGGGCATCAGAATCAGACAAAAGCTGGAAAAGACCTCAGAGTCCATTGGCCTCCCTCAATTAAAGATGAGGAAACTGAAGCTCAGGAAAGCAAAGAGGTTATAACCTCTAGTCCCATGACTCCAGAGCCAGGATTCTTTCCATGGTACCATGGTAGAGGAATGCATTGTCCTACCAGGGACCTAGGAATTGATGAATCCTTCTCATGTCTCATGTGTTACCTCAGTGTTAAAAGTTTTACCATCATGACATTAAAAATAGGAACTGGCCCCTCAAAGTATTATAGGTGGTCCAAATTTTTCTTCCAAGTCTTTCTGTTTAGCGCCTACTCTTTCTCCCTCTTATATAAAACTAGCTCTGACCTCTGTTCTACAAACAGTGGGCTGAGCCACATGGATATTGCCAGAAAGCAAAAACAAAAATAAAAGCAAAAATAGCTCTTGTGAGGGATGGACAGAAAAGACAAAGAGCAAACGTTACTTATTCCTTTTCACATAACTTCTTCTAGACCCCTGGCAGATGGATGAGGGTGTATTTGACTTACAGAGAGTCCAGTGTTCCCAATACAAGCTTGAAATCCTAGACTAAGGAAGGTCCTACTTTCCTGTCTTGGGTTTGTCCCATTGCAAGCACATTAGCTTCTTTCTTAATTATTTATTTATTTATAGGAAAATTTATTGTTTAATTGTTACTGATTTTTTTTTGCTATCACTTTCATTTCCAAACACAGCCTTCCTTCCCTTCTCCTAGATAGCCACCTCTTATAACAAGGAAGAAAAGAAAAAAAGAGGAAGGAAAAAAAAGAAAAAGAAATCATCAAAAGCAACCAACAGAATCATTCGATCTATTATGGTATGGAATGTTTTTTATCCAGTATCCCCCAACCTTTGTCAGGAACAAAAAGAGAGCACAATGACTCTGCGAACTTCATTTCCTCAACCTCCCAGTTCAACAGCCAGTCCCATACAGACAAATTTTCCAGAAAGCCACATTCACCTCTGCAATGGAACTAAAGGATACCTCTCCTGGATTTCTAGATAGTCAGGCCCTTTACAAATAAGTGTTGCGTGAAAAGGTAACAGACACAATGATCATTTCCCCAGGAGTGGGCTGAGGATTTCTAAGTTGGGGAGGCAGATGACTGACCACATTACTTCTCACTAGCCAGGAGCATCAAGTCAATAGTGTAAACAAAGGTCAGTTGGTTGACAAACATTCATTAAGTGCTTACTATGTGTCAGGCACTGGAGGCACAAAGAAAGGTAAATCTTATATTCAGTCTAATAAGGAAGACAACCTATAAATAACTGTACAAAAACAGTATTAGAACAGATCAAAGGGCCACAGGATAGCTGAGGTCTGTAATGCATGTCTTTCTCACTTTAGCCTTAAAGGATCTTTTATGTTCCTTCAAAACAAAGATCAGGCCCTTCCTCTTTTATAAGGGCTGCCCTCACTTGCTACATTGTTGGCATGGAAGTCCCTAATGAAATTACTTTGGGTGACTTTGAACATATTTTCATTTACTTCTTCTTGTATACATGTTACACACACACACACATACACACACACACACCCAGTGGAATGTAAGCCCCTGAAGGAAGGAATTCTTTTATTTTCTTTTTTCATCCTTAGCATCTAGTCCAGTTCATTGTATGTTGTGATCCTGCCTCTCATTAGTTATAGGGTCCGAACATGATACAATATACCTGGATCTCAGTTTCCTCATCTACAAAATGGGATTAGTAATGTTTATGAGGCTTGCTTCCCCAAATGAGTTAATGCAGACAGAAATGAACCTCCCCCCCTTCACTACTGCTGTTCTCAATAACAAAGCAAAGCATAAAACTAAACGCTCCCACAGAAATTGTGTTTTGTGTAGTCCTGGTTGATTGCGCTTTTTCCATCTCCAGATTGCTCCCTACATGCCTGCCTCCATTTCTGAACCTTCCTTCCTCTGTGAGATTTGAGTAACCACTCTTACTCCTTGACTCCTTTGGGAAGCCTCCTGCTAAGAAAAATGAAGCACGGTCTCCAAACATAATCGTCCCTCTTCCTCCTCCCATGCCTGTTAGGGAAGAAAACCCAAGGCCTTCTTTGTCCATGAAAAGAAAAGAAACTTCTAGAGAACAACACCTAGTCTCTGAAGTCCATGCAGAGTCCAGCAATGTGACCACGAGCCACAGGGCATCCACTGAAGAAGCCAGGGGCTTAGTCCTGCCTCAGTCATCAAACCGATCCCCAGCCTCGATGACAGCACCAGCACCATCCTGAAACTGCTTTCCTTCTGATTCTCTATCCTTTCAAGTTTCCGTCAGACCCATCAAAGCAGGAAAGGAGAAAACAAGAGATGTCCCTCAACAGGGATTTCTGAAACGTGATGAATCACTGAGCCCAGCTGGGATCCTACTTGTTTGCATTTGGTAAGTTTCTTTTACTAAAAGTCTCGCTCCCAATTTGTTAAAACCAAGAGCAGAAATCAGGGTTATGGCCCAGTTTCTGAAGGGAGGTGTGGGCTTCACGTTGCTTGGGGGTAGGGACAGGGGAGGGTTAAGAATAGTTATGTGGCAGATATTAATTAAAAGGTGTCAGGGCACCCAACAGAAGGGAAAATAGCTTCTGTTGGTCTCTCAGGTACTAATAAGAGAAGGTGGCCATGACCCTCCCGAGGATGAATACCCATCTGACAACTGAAGCTATATCTTGGGCCCTAACCACATGCCTAGTGATATGTGGGTTAAGGATAGAAAGACTCGGTCCATGGAACCCCGTCAAACAAGAGACTAACATCGGTGTCCTATTTCCTTACACAAATGATGCACCTAGGTAATTTGTTAAGCCTCTTTTCCCTACAAGGAGACAAATAGTTTTGGGCTCTCAGATTCCCAGAGGGCATAGCTCCTTTAGCATCTGGAGTAAACAAGAAGCATTAGAAGCTACTGCAGATTGAACAAAGAGAATACTTATAGCAATTAAAGGGAATCTGCCAGTTCCAGTGGAAGGCCCCTAACTGGCAATAACCCAGTGGGGAATGCCACTCCCAGAATTTCCCTGTAAAAACCCTATGCACTTGGAGTTTCTGGTACAGTGTGGCCCTTTTTCTTGAATGGCATTTGTTACATTTGAAGCTGATTCACTAAGCCTTGCTCCTTCCTTACCACCAGTTCTAAATCACCAACCTCCTCCTCCTCCTCCTTTGCCTTCCGTGTTCTCATCTTGATCCATGCAGAGATGGTCTGCCTCTTCTGTGAGAATGCTAAGTCCCTTACACAAAAGGTCATAAGATCTCCCTCCCTTCATCTCCCACAGCATGGAGCAGAGTCCTTGGTCGCAGTAGGGATAAAGGAAGATGCATTGCTTTCAATGGTCACAAGAATAGGGCAGAAAAAAACCAGTACCTTTTCCTGTTTCCCAGTTTAATCAGTAATAGTGCATATTACTTACTCAGTGGGTAATTGAGACATTAAATGTAAACATAAAACTACCTGGCATCTTGTTTGAGTAGGAGCAAGTGCTACTTCAATTATTTGTCGCACTATCAAATTTTCAGGACAATCATCCTTACTATTCATTTTCCTCTTTTAAAACTTAAACATGGTAGCTGTTTACTATCTCTCAGGGCAGAAGAATGGCAACTGGGGCATGAGGAGCAAGGAATGACCTGCGGTTAACTAATCTGTGCAAATTATACGGTGCCAAATCATTTTTTAAAATAGAGAAAAAAGTTTCACCTTTTCTAAGCATTTCCTGACATCCTCCTCCACCACCATGCCCCCCCATACACACGTACCTTGTATTCGTTTGGTATATATTATGAATATACTTCTATGGATAATATCATCTCCTCCATTGGATTGTAAGTTCCTTAAGGGGAGAGAATATTTCACTTTTACCTTCGTATCTCCACTGCCTGTCACATAGCAATTAATCAATAATTGTTGGTTGACTGTCATACTTGGGACTGAGAGGCAGAAGACCGATTTAATTTGAAAAAGCCTTTCAAGTTGACACGTAACTTTCTTTTTCATCCTTCCTGGGATTCTTTAAAATGTTCTCATCATAAGAGAGCGGAGTATAGTGTAAATAGCACCATATTTGTCATCATAGGTCTACATTCAAATTTCAGCTCAACTATTTCTAATCTACATAACAAGCAAGTCTTCTAATTGTTTTGGATGTCATTTCCCTCACTTGCCAAGTAGAAGGTTTAGATTAGAAGATATTTAATGCCCCTTCCTCCTCTATGGCCTTGGCTACATGACTTAATCTCTCTGAGCCTCAATTTCCTCATGTGTAAAATAAGGTGATTGAACAAGATGACTTCTAAGATATTTTCCCATTCCAGATCTAGGATCCTCTGACCATTCCAAATTTTAGTGATGACCTATATGATTCCTTCCCTTTCTAAATCTAGGACCCTATAATGTTTCCAAATTCCAATACTGTGATATTGGGTAAGTCACATCACCACAATTTACTCTGCTCTTATGGCCATTGCCAAATCCTTAGTACTTCTATGAATACCCACTTGGGTCTTTAAATAATTCCAAAAAGAAAAAAAATAGCCTTGGAGAGAAAGTAACATGAAGAACTTCAATAACCTCATGAGACACCAAAGGAGCCAGCACAGGTGAACCCCCTTCTATTGATGTGCAGGAAGGCAACATTAACAAATGTTCTCCCCAATTAAGGTAAATAACCTGCTTCTGAACA